TCCTGAGGGACAAGGACCCCTCTGCCCGCGTGAGAACCATCCCTTATATAAAGTGACTCATCACAGAAATCCCTTAAGTCCTGTGCTGCTCTAATGCATGTAAGGTGTGGAGAGCACTATTCACAGCACCATCCCAGCTCCAAGGCCACCACTGAGCTACCCACATGACTCAAGCTCTTTCGGTCTCTAGTGCTTTACCAGCAAAACCAGCACAACCTGTATGCATGGTAGCTCAGAGGGACACTGTGACAATCAACAAAGAATGGCATTACAAAAAGCAGCTTATCTAGGGAAGTAGTACTGCATGTGGCTAAGAGCTAGGGTCACCCTGTTGTCACTAGGCCTCGGTCCTATGGAGGTTACCACCTACACGCTAACAGCTTTAAAAGAGACTCTTGGCCGGGCACGGTGGCTCAAGCCTGTAATCTCAGCACTTTGGGAGGCCGAAACGGGCGGATCACGAGGTCAGGAGATCGAGACCATCCTGGCTGACACGGTGAAACCCCGTCTCTACTTAAAAAAAATACAAAAAACTAGCCGGGCGAGGTGGCAGGCGCCTGTAGTCCCAGCTACTCGGGAGGCTGAAGCAGGAGAATGGCGTGAACCCGGGAGGCGGAGCTTGCAGTGAGCTGAGATCCGGCCACTGCACTCCAGCCTGGGCAGCAGGGCGAGACTCCGTCTCAAAAAAAAAAAAAAAAAAAGAGACTCTTGGCACACAGTAACTGAGGCAATGATGTATTTTTCTACCAATAATTTTATCGAGAAGGGTAGAGAGGCGGACTGATTTACTCCTAGCCTTCTACTGTTCAGCTTTTAAAACAAGCCAACCAGAGCCAAAGCTGAGAAAACCTAGGCATTACAATCATTATAAACTACCAAAGGGACAATTTAGCTTTTAACCCTAGGACTGCAAAATATGGTAATGGGGAAGCCCACTGGAGAACCACCCCTCCCAAAAAAACAAGCAAGCTAATCTTCGCAGGCTAGTATCTCTTTCCCTAACCAGAAAAAAATCAAAGAGCAGAGTGAAAGCAAAGACCTGGCAGCATGCATTCAAATAATCCAAAACCCTGTCTTCTAATCTTGAGCTCACAATCTGACATGCCTCCAAAGTCCTTTTCACCGAATAAACAATCACTTTTTTAAGTACAGCAAACACTCAAATGCATTGTATAGAGAATCTGATTTAAATAAAACAATTCAAATGACTGTTTACTGAGTGGTTACCAAGGTAGTATTATGAAAGCAGCAAGCTGCCTGGGAGTCAGGATGGCCTCCCCTGGAGTCTTTAGATCAAGTTCCTGAACCTGGATTTAACTGTTTAAAACAAAGTTTTCTTCGGTGGCGGGCGCCTGTAGTCCTAGCTACTCAGGAGGCTGAGGCAGGAGAATGGCGTGAACCCAGGAGGCGGAGCTTGCAGTGAGCCGAGATCGCGCCACTGCACTCCAGCCTGGGCAACAGCGTGAGACTCCGTCTCAAAAAAAAAATAATAATAAATAAAATAAAATAAAATAAAATAAAACAGAGTTTTCTTGATTGTAAAAACAGAGTCAATCCTAACAGTACCTCCTCGGGAATCTAACCCTAAATACATATTTTTATTTTTAAAAATAACCAATCCATCTGTGTCTGATTCACCCACAAAACTACTCAGGAAGGGGCTGGACATGGTGGCTCACGCCTGTAATCCCAGCACTTTGGGAGGCCAAGGTGGGCGGATCACGAAGTTAGGAGATCAAGACCATCCTGGCTAACAGGGTGGAATCCTGTCTCTACTAAAAAAATACAAAAAAATTAGCCAGGCGTGGTGGTGGGCACCTGTAGTCCCAGCTACTCGGGAGGCTGAGGCAGGAGAATGGTGTGAACCCAGGAGGTGGAGCTTGCAGTGAACTGAAATAGCGCCACTGCACTCCAGCCTGGGCGACAGAGCGAGACTCCGTCTCAAAAAAAAAAAAAATAATAATAATAATAATAAAATAAAATAATAAAAATAAAAATTAAGAAGGGGAGCAAGCTAAGTCACTGAATTTATTTATGATACAACATTTAAATTTTTTTAAAAAACCTAGACATTCCCCTAAAATGAACTTTTTTTTTTCCTGACTATACCCTAACGCTGAATCTTGACTGACTTTAAATGCAACAGATTTCTCATCAAAATTAAGCAAATCCTCTTCTCACACCCAGGAGAGAAGGAACTGCAAAACAAGATTTCCAACCTGGGTTCCCAGATGGAGCTTGCTAGCTCACTGCATTTTTGGTGCATACTCCACTCCTGGTAGAGACTGAAGTCCAAAGAATCAAGTTTCTATTTTCCTCCTGTCTCTCAAAGGCTTTCAAGATAAAAATCTAAATTCACTGCCCACCAGTGCTCCAACCTTAAAACGCTACAGCAACTTCAGTGTTTCGTTTTGTTTTGGTAGAGACAGGGTTTCACCATGTTGCCCAGGCTGGTCTTGAACTCCTGAGCTCAAATAGTCCTCTCACCTCAGCCTCCCAAAGTGCTGGGATTACAGGTGTGAGCCACTACACGCAGCACAACTTCAGTTCTTAATAAAGCATATACTCAAATCTCTGCTCTTTGGATACTCTCTTCTCTGCCTCTCCCCAACCATCTTCTACACCACTTTCACACGTCTTCCTGTCATGGAGGAACAGGTCCCTGCCGCCAGCAGGTGGCGGGGGTCACCTCCTCCATTCTTTCTACCAAGCAACTCCACTAACTTCTATCACAGCATAATTACCTTACTACAGATACGTTAATGGCCTCTCCACTCTGCATGGAGTGCAGACGTATAGGCTTCTAAAGAGCTTTCCTTGTTAAGACTTGTAATGAAAAAAAAAAAAAAAAAGTTTTCCACAGGCTCTATCAAAAATATCCAAGTGTTGCCAGCTTCCTAAACTATCCTCTGTGAAGCTAGTACTACACTTTTTGAGACTATGAGGCTCTTTCTCACAAGGGCTATTTTATTCTACAACTTGCAGGTTCCAATAGTCCACATGTATTTGTAAAATGACTCAGTCACAAAATGACTATTTGAAAATGGAAGGGGAAAATGGAAAATTTGAAATGCACCCCATATGCTATAATCTATTAATTTACCCTCTCACCTAGCAAGGTTCTACCAGCAATCCTTCCTGCATACGGTAAATTTATCTTAAAGCCCTCCAAATACCACCCTCAGAAACCCCACCAGCTTCCGTAGATAGATGCTGAAAAAGTCAAAATTAACACATTCCTTCCCAGAGTTTTAAATAGTAAAATGCTGAGAACAGAGGAAGCTTTTCTCTTCATTTCTAAGAGCCAGTAACCATGGTATTTTACTTCTTCCTACCTAAGGAGGGAAAGAATCTAGAATTTTCACCAGATTTATTATCTAACAATATAGCTAGCACTTAGGGAACGCACTTAACGTAAACGCTCAACTACGCAGGGCACAGCAGCTCACGCCTGTAATTTCAGCACTTTGGAAGGCCTAGGCAGAAGGATGGCTTGAGCTCAGGGGTTTCAGACCAGCCTGGGCAACACCCGGAGACTCCGACTCTTCAAAAAATAAAAAAATTAGCCGGGCATAGTGGTGCTGAGCCTGTGATCCCAGCTACTTGGGAGGCTGAGATGGAAAGACCGCTTGAGCCCAGGAGTTCGAGGCTGCAGTGACCTGTGATCGTGCCACTGCATCCCAGCTTGGGCAACAGAGGGAGACTCTTTCTCAAAGAAAAAAATTAAATATATAAGTGCTCAACCACATTCACTTTTAATCTCCATAAACTAAGTTTCACACATTACAATATGAGGAGAGCAAAATCACAGACAGAAAGGAAAAACGGAGGGAGTATTTAATGGCTACACTTTGTTTCCGATGATGAAAAAGTTCTTGACATCAAGTAGTAACTGTTACAGCATACTGGGTCAGTGCACCCAGTATCCCTGAATTGTAAGCTTAAAAATGGTTAAAATGGCAAACTCTACGTTATGTCTATTTTATTACAATGAAATAAATGTCTGGGAAATTCAATGTGTACCCAGGCTTCTCCCTTCCCGGCCGCTGATCTTGGAGCCAAAACCGCTCTCTCTCTCGCTCGTGTCTGTAATCAGAATGAATGAGTTTCACCGGGGCACAGGTCGATGCTTCCCCCCTTTAAAGAAACTTTTAAAAGCCAAGAAGTGAAACAGCACCGAGCAGGACTCGAAAAGCTGATGGAGCCTGGAAGGAAATGAACCCGCCTCATGACAGAACAGCTTCCCCAGAAACACGGGAAAAAGGGGATTCCTTCCTCGACTTCGTGTCTGCTTCTGAGGGTGAAGGTTGAGCAGCAGATCCCATCTCTCCACTAATACCTGCGGCGCACCCGGGGAAGAGCGGGAAACAGCGAGGGACTTGAGCCAGGGCCAGAGCGTGGGGCGAGGGGGCTGTGCCGAGGAAGGCACTTCCCGCGGAGCGGGATCGGCGCGCGGGGACTGAGGGGCGGGGCAGGAGGGGAGCCCCCCGACCCGGCCTCGCGGCCCTTCCTGACGCCTCCCCCGCTCGGTTACCGTTGACTGGGGGTGACTGCGCGCGAGACCCCGGGTGCGCACCCCCTCTTCTCCCCCCACGTTACGGATCGGAAAACAGACCCCGGGAGGAGAGGGGATTGGGGGGTGAAACCCAGCTTCCGAGGTTACCCTCCCAGGGAGCGGTCGGGCCGGCCTCGGAGGCTCTCCCGTCCGGGCCCGCGCCATCAACCACCATGCGCAGCGGCTGGGCCTGAGGCCTCGGCGACGGGGTTGGCCCCGGCCTGGAGGGACTGAAGGAGCCGAGGCTCAAGGCCCGGGATAGGAGACGATTCTGGAGGCTCCCCCGGCTCCCCGCTCACGGCCCGAGACGCCGCCACCCTGGGCAAGCGGTATGGGAACAGCCGGGACCGAGGCCGCGCCGGGGCTAGGCCGCCAACAGACCTAACGGAGCCGCCGGCCGCGGAGAGGAACCCTTACTCCGGGCAAGGGACCATGAGATACTTACCCCTTAGGGCCCGGAGCCCCGTTGCCGCTCGGCACGCCGGGCGCGCCGCTCTCTTCCTCCATTTTGATCTCCGTCGCCGCCACCTCGGCCGCCGCTTCGACCCCTGCCGCCATTTTCTCCGCGTCTGGGCTTTGTGTGAGCGAACGGGCTGCACCGCGCTGCGCCTGCGCGCCCACGTGACCCAACGCGACCAGTAGCACTTGCGCGCGCCGCTGCCGGCTGCCTCCTTGGGCCCACCCGCCCCGGGCCACGCCCCCGCCGCGCGCAGGCGCAGACCGGCAGCTGTTGATCCCTTCACTCTCAAGATACACTCGCGTTAGGCACTGACTGGTTGTGCCGGGCGCGCGTCCTCGGAGTCCGATAGAGGAAGCATCTCCCCACGCCACCGCCCACACACACACCTAGACCTAGTCACAACCAGAGCTGGAGCAGAGGGGAAGCAATGATCCTGTCTAGGGATTCCTGGAAGTTTTAGATCAAGCTTGTCCAACCCGCGGTCCGGCACACGATTCGTAAACTTTCTTAAAACATTGTGTCTTTTGTGTGATTTATTTTATTTTATTTTTGTAACGCAATTGCGCGGTTTTCCAGCGCGAACTTTGTAGGCAACAACGGAACGGCATGGAATAATATCAGAGTATTATCCGTAATTCGCATTATAATTGTAAACAGTTCGGCCAGAAGAAATGGAAAACTGTTAAAATTCACTAATAATGGGGCCAGGCGCGGTGGCTCACGCCTGTTATCCCAGCACTTTGGGATTGGGAGGCCCAGGCGGCGGATCACCTGAGGTCAGGAGTTCCACACCAGCCTGGCCAACATGGTGAAACCCTGTCTCTACTAAAAATACAAAAATTAGCTGGACGTGGTGGCGGGCGCCTGTAATCTCAGCTACTCAGGAGGCTGAAGCAGGAGAATCGCTTGAACCCGGGAGGCGGAGTTCGCAGTGAGCTGACATCATGCCACTGCACTGCAGCCTGGCAGATAGACTGAGACTCCATCTCAAAAAACAAAAAGATAACTACTGAGTACTGGGCTTAATACCCAGTACTAAGTGATGAAATAATGTGTACAACAAACCCCCATGACAAGTGTTTACCTATTTAACAAACCTTCACATTTACCCCCAAACCTAAAAGTTAGAAACACAAAATTTAAAAAAACATTAATGGCCGGGCGTGTCGGCTCACGCCTGTAATCCTACCACTTTGGGAGGCCAAGGTGGGCAGATCACTAGGTCAGGAGATCAAGACAATCCTGGCCAACATGGTGAAACCCTGTCTCTACTAAAAATGCAAAAATTAGCTGGGCGTGGTGGCGGGCGCCCGTAATCCCAGCTGCTGGGGAGCCTGAGGCAGGAGAATCGCTTGAACCCATGAGGAAGAGGTTGCAGTGAGTCGAGATCACACCACTGAACTCCAGCCTGGTAACAGAGCAAGACTCCATCTCAAAAAAAAAAATAAAAAATAAGCATAAAGAGCGAGAGGATTCTGTTGCAATGTTGCATACAATGAATTGTGACAGAATTCAGGGTGTATTCTGTACTAGGCATAATGCCGTATGGTCTTATTTTTGTGTGCATGTGTGGTTTCAGTTTTGTGGTGCTGTGCAGCCTCCAATGTGCCATCTTCCAAGTGCAGACAGTCGAATTGGCGCCATCAGATGTTATGTGTGCTTGTGGCAACTCGGGCAGTAAGATGCAGCGATTATCTTTTTTTTTTTTTGAGACGGAGTTTCGTACTTGTTGCCCAGGCTGGAGTGCAATGGCGCAATCTCGGCTCACTGCAACCTCTGCCTACTGGGTTCAAGCGATTCTCCTGTCTCAGCCTCCTGAGTAGCTGGGATTACAGGTGCATGCCACCACGCCCGGCTAACTTTTGTATTTTTAGTAGAGACAAGGTTTCATCATATTGGTCAGGCTGGTCTCAAACCCCTGACCTCATGATCCACCCACCTCAGCCTCCCAAAGTGCTGGGATTATAGGCGTAAGCCACCGCGCCCAGCCTTCAATGCAGCGATTATCAATAATACTTTTTTTTTTTTTTTTTTGGATACAGTCTTGCTCGGCTCACTGCAACCTCCACCTCCTGGTTTCAGGCGATTCTTCTGCATCAGCCTTCCAAGTAGCTGGGATTACAGGCGCACACTATGACGCCTGACTAAGTTTTGTATTTTTTAGTAGAGATGGGGTTTCGCCATGTTGGCTAAGCTAGCCTGGAACTCCTGACCTCAGGTGATCTGCCCACCTCAGCCTCCCAAAGTGCTGGGATTACAGACATGAGTCACTGCACCTGGCCTACCAATAATATTTCAATCTACCTTTGTAAATGATAGCTGACTGCAACCTTGAACTCCTGAGCTCAAGCGATCCTCCCCTGTTTAGCCTGTCAAGTAACTGGGACTGCAGGTGCACGCCACTGCATTTGGCTAATTTTTTATTTTTATTTTTTGGTACAGATAGGATCTTGCCGTTTTGCCCAGGATGGTCTTGAACTCCTGAGCTCGAGCGATCCTACAGCCTTGGCCTCCCACAGTGCTGGGATTACAAGCGTGAGCCACTGTGCTGGTCCTTAAAGGATTATTAAAGACAGGTTAACAGCAAACTAAAACTCTTCTCTATGAAAGTATTGGAATAGATTTGCAAAGAAAACAGTTTTCCTTCTCTCTCTGATTCTCTCTCTTTTTGTAGAGACAGGGTCTCGCTATGTTGGCCAGGCTGGTCTCTAACTCCCTGCCTTCAAGCAATCCTTTTGCCTTGGCCTCCCAAAGTGCTGGGATTTCAGCCATGAGTCACCCCACTGGTCTCTCTTCTTCCTAGCATGTCCTGAGGCATCTGTACATCAACTCCTGGGGCAACAAACACCAAAGTTGGCCTGAGGAAGGATGGGTGTCAGGCTGTACGGAGTTTAGTTGCAGGGGCAGGGAAGGCCCCCTAAGGGGCAGCAGCGCTCATGCGCACAGGTGTGATGCTCTGTTTTTGCAGACCACTGGCACATCAGTCACCCCATGCGTAGCAGGCTCTGCCCATTTCTCTGGCCACCTGCCCCTCAATCACACTGCTCCAGCCCTGGGGTTCCTCCCTGCTGCTCTTCCTACAGGCTAAGCAGTTTCCAGCCTCTGAGCCTTTGTGCTTAGCTGTTTCCTCCACTCCCATGGCCACACAGCCTTCTCCTTGCCCTTCCAGTCTGGGCAGAAAGTTTTTCTTCCTTTGTGAGCAAGCTACATACCAGGCAGGGATTCATATGGAAAACAGACCTTGAGCAATCAGCCCCTCCACTCTGAGGCTCAGTTTGCCTAACTGCAAATATGGGTAATAAGAAATGCACCAGGCTGGGCACGGTGGCTCACGCCTGTAATCCTAGCAGTTTGAGAGTCAGGCGGATCATTTGAGGTCAGGAGTTCAATACCAGCCTGGTCAATATGGTGAAACCCCATCTCTACTAAAAATACAGAAATTAGCCAGGCATGATGGTGGGTGCCTGTAGTCCCAGCTACTCAGGAGACTGAGACAGGAGAATTGCTTGAACCCGGGAAGCGGAGGTTGCAGAGAGCAGAGATAGCGCCACTGTGCTCTAGCCTGGGCAACAGAGTGAGACTCCATCAGAAAGAAAGAAAGAAAGAGAGAGAGGAGGGAGGGAGGGAGGGAGGGAGGGGGAGAGAGAGAGAGAGAGAGAGAGACACCAGAACTCACCTTTCAGGACTGCCCTGAGCTTTGAAAGCAGACAGATGCCAAGTGCCTTTAAATGTAGAAGAATCAGCAGGCAGAAAGCACTCAAGAAGTAGGTGCTGTTATTAGAATAACTGCATTCTGGGCCAGGCACCGTGGCTCACTGTAATCCCAGCACTTTAGGGAGGCAAGGTGGGTGGATCACCTGAGGTCAGGAGTTTGAGACCAGCCTGGCCAACAGGATGAGACCTCATCTCTACTAAAAATACAAAACTTAGTTGCCTGTGGTCCCAGCTACTTGGGAGGCTGAGGCAGGAGACAATCGCTTGAACCCGGGAGGCGGAGGTGCAGTGAGCCAAGATTACACCACTGCACTCCAGCCTGGGTGATAGAGTTAAGACTCTATCTCAAAAAAAAAAAAAAAAACAAAAAAACAAGGCTGGGCGCGGTGGCTCAAGCCTGTAATCCCAGCACTTTGGGAGGCCGAGACGGGCGGATCACAAGGTCAGGAGATCGAGACTATCCTGGCTAACACGGTGAAACCCTGTCTCTACTAAAAAATAGAAAAAACTAGCCAGGTGAGGTGGTGGGCGCCTGTAGTCCAAGCTACTCGGGAGGCTGAGGCAGGAGAATGGTGGGAACCCGTGAGGCGGAGCTTGCAGTGAGCCAAGATTGCGCCACTGCACTCCAGCCTGGGTGACAGAGCGAGACTCCGTCTCAAAAAAAAAAAAAAAAAAAAAACAAAAAACAAAAAACACACACATTCTGCATCTTTCCTGAGTCTTCCTCCAAAAGGAGTCCTGGGGTCACCCCAGCTCCACTTCCTACAGCTCTGGGACCTTACATTAAGGCTTCCCTGCCCTGTGCCTCAGTCTTCTCACCTATAAAATGGAGGTAATAGCCAGGCGCGGTGGCTCAAGCCTGTAATCCCAGCACTTTGGGAGGCCGAGACAGGCGGATCTCAAGGTCAGGAGATCGAGACCATCCTGGCTAACACGGTGAAACCCCATCTCCACTAAAAAAATACAAAAAACTAGCCGGGCGAAGTGGCGGGCGCCTGTAGTCCCAGCTACTCGGGAGGCTGAGGCAGTGGAATGGCGTAAACCCAGGAGGCGGAGCTTGCAGTGAGCTGAGATCCGGCCACTGCACTCCAGCCTAGGCGACAGAGCAAGACTCCGTCTCAAAAAAATTAAAAAAAATAAAAAATAAATAAAATGGAGGTAATAACTACTTCTTCCCTAACAAGTGACAGTCAGAGGAGGGAAAGACTCAGAACTATGCCTCATCTATAGTGACCCTAAGTCAGTGTGGATATTGTCACCATTTAAACACAAATTGTTTGTTTGCCTTAGAGACAGGGTCTTGCTCTGTTGCCCAGGCTGGAGAGCAGAGGCATAATCATAGCTCACTGCAGCCTGGAACTCCTGGATTCAAGGGACCCTCCCACCTCAGCCTCCTGAGTAACTGTGACCACAGGTGCATGCCACCATGCGCAGTTAATTATTTATTTATTTAGTCAAGACAGGATCTCACTATGTTGCCCAGGCTGGTCTCAAACTCCTAGACTCAACTGATCCTCCTGCTGAAGCCTCCCAAAATGCTGGGGTTACAGGCATCGGCCACCAGGCCTGGCCCATGCTGGGCTCTCTACACTTACTAAAAACTAATAGTGGCTAGGCACAGTGGTGCATGCCTGTCGTCCCAGCTGCTGGGGAGGCTGAGACAGGAAGATTGCCCGACCCCAGGAGGTTGAGGCTGGAGTGAGCCATGATTGTGCCACTGCACTCCAATCTGGGCGACAGAGCAAGACCCCATCTCAAAAAAAGAAAAAAAGAGGCCAGCATGGTCTCTGGACTTGTAGAG